TAATTTTTATCAACTGCAAAATAAATTGTTTAATAAAACATGACTCCGTTGGAATTAAAAAAAAAAAAAAAAAAAAACAATTTCTATATATAATTATTTTTTTAAACTTATAAGAATTACTCTTGTAACAGTTTATATTATAATTTACTATAATAGTTAAATAAAACTCTGACAGAAAAAAAATTTTTTGAACCATTTTGAACTGGTGCAAACTGGTTCAGTTCAGTTTGGTTCCAGTTCAGTTCAGTTCAATATTTTTAAATTTTGGTTCAGTTCCAGTTCAATGTTAGAACTGAACTAAACTGTTACATTAGGAGCTTTAATAGAAACTATTATAAATGAGAAACTCTTAAACTTTTGAATTATCTATTAAATAACATCTTCTTAACAATTTTTATTATTTTAAACATCTAAAATATTTATGTTACATTAAAAAATTGTCAGAAAATCCCTATTCCTTATTATCAAATGTAAAGTGCAATAAACAATATAACATCAAATATTAAACAGTCACTTCAAAATTTTTTCATGTAAAAAATCTTTTATTATAAATGATCTTACATAAAATAATACATCTTAAATAAATAAAATGAATAAGATAAAAATAAAAAATAAGATAAAAATAAATAAAATAGAATAAATAAGATAAAAAAAAATACAAATTTTTAAAGAAATAAAATGAAAAAAAAAAATAAAAATAATGAAATAAAAATATGATAGAAGAAATAAATACGATAGAAGAAATATGAAAAAATAAATTAACCAAAATAAAAATATCCAATATTTTTAATTAGTTTATAGATTTGTAGTATAATTCTTAAATTATAGGTAAAAATAGCTTAATTTTAAATGTGGCGGGTGTGAAAGTTTTTTACATGAATTTACAAGGAAAGATTTTGATATAAATAAATATAGAGAAAGTAAATTATATAGAATTATTTGGATAGAAGGGAAAAGAAAATTGAATTTAAATGTTGATAATAATGTTGATGAATGATTGTAGCGTAAAAAGAATTAAAGCGTACGCGTGTTTTAGTACAATACTTATTGAAAAAAAAAAAACACAAAAGCATTGAAGGTATGATTTGCGACGACGAAACGATTTAAATATTCAGATTTGCCAAACGATAATAACACGATAAGAGATTCGACTCAAAGATAAAAGTGAAATAGAAAAGTGAAAATAAAAAAAAAATGAAAAATAAAAAAATAAGAATGAAATATTTTTTTTTTTTTTAAATTTTTTTTTTTTTATAAAAAAAAAACAAAAATGATTTACATCAAGAAAGGGGAAAAAAAAAGAATTTAAAAAAGAAAGCCAAATAAAGAAAATATAATAAAATATATATAACAATATACTGTGAATTTTTAATCATCTAAACATTAGAATTAACTGAATCAACAGTAGTATTGTAAAAATCCATCCAAATATTCATTACGTCCTTTCCCAAACCAAAAAAAACGATATTTTCATACGCGCCCGTATAATTATCGATTGAGAGACTGTCATACCATTTATCCCCGTTACCTGTATACAAATATTCCAATAAGGGTTCGAATGTATCAGGAGATGGAATACTAATTTTGATTAAAGAATTTTCGCTTCCGACATCATTAAATATTTTATTAAAATATTCTGATTGAGAAACTAAATATTCTCTATGAATATAAAAAGATTGAAGGGTTCCAGTTCCATTAGAATCATAAAGACCTTCAATTTGAAGTTCAGCGTAAGCTGTTTTTCTATCTTGATAATATTGATCTCCCATTTCATGAAGTGTTCTAATAGCATATGCGGAAGGGATTGAAGTAAAATAAGAAAATGCTTTATCAAAAGAATTATTGGATTCACTAGAATCACTAAGAGAATCGTCAGAATCAGAAAAGTAACGATTTAAACGGCTAGACATGTTTGGTTTTATTTTTTGTTTGAAAGAGAAATGAAAGCAAGAAAATAGAACAAATATATAAGATATAAGAAGAGATATATATAAGAGATCTAATAAATCAAAGAAAAAGAGATTTAAGCGAAAAATCTTTTTGTTGTGTTTCTCAGTATGTTTGTGTTTGTTTGTTTTAATAAAGTTTGTTGTGATTAAAGAAATAATATTTTCTTTGCTTGAAAGTTGTTATGACTGGGTAGACACCAGCACCGCGTCTTTATATACTTCCCGAAGCTATAATCAAAAGTTAAACTACCTTTGTCATATTTATTTCTCATACGCATTAATAAATAGTATAGTAATAATAAAAAATATATATCAAATATTTTCTAACATAAATGATCCTTCTTGCATCAAGATCCCTACAATAGATACCCTAACAGTTTCTTCATCATATGCATTCATATGATCAAAAACAGCAATAACAACAACGAAATCATTAATATATATTAATAATTTCACATTCATTCATTTACATTCATTGATTAAAAAAATGGACATTAAAGAAAATAAAAAAAAATAAAAATATTTAATGGTAATCTTTTAAATAAAACTTCCAGGAAGAACAATACTAATAATAAGACAAAAAAAGAATTTTTAAAGTTGTAGCGAATATTTGGATGTCCATTGTTACTATCAAAGTGTTCATTAAAAGATGTAAAAAAAAAAAAAAAAAAAAAAAAAAAAAAAGATCATGAAAGATGAAATAATATAAAGGAAAAGAAAATATTATTTAAATAATGAGATAAAATCACGAAGCAGTTAAGGATATAATATTAAAGGAGTGTTTGAGTGCTAGCTGTAGTGTTATTATATTGGTTATGTCACCATTCATTCATTATTTTAAATTCATATTGATAGAGTAATTAAAAATTATATGCGCATAAAAAAATAATAATAATAATAATAATAAAGTAAAATTTTTTTTTAATGAAACAATGATTGTTATTCTACTGCGCATGAATGTCTATGTTTTAATTAATTAAAAATTTTAAAACTAGATAATTTTACACTGATCATCTAACACATGCAATGCAATACTTACCATAATTAGTTATACTTTATATTGAGCATAATAATAATATTCTCAGACAATAGTAACACCTACTTTAACTAATTGTTCTACCCACTTTTTACGAAACTAATCCAAACTAATGGTAAAAATAAAATATTTAAAATTATTTTAAAAAAATATTTATCTTTAGTTGTACAAAAACGATATTTTAGGCAAGACTGCAACATATAATTATTGGTGTGCTAACTTAATATTTATTAATTATATAAAAAAAATGCTGTGCTGTAATGAGTTTCAAAATTCTGAAACTCTAAAAATCGCGTGTTCTATATTTTAGTTATTATTATTAGTATCACAAGATTATCGGATTTTCCATTTTTTTTAATATCTATTTTTAGTAATTGATTTTTTTTTAAAAAAAATTACTACGGAATTAAAATGTTAATGTTGGCAGTGGAGTTAGTGGAGTTGAATAGGGAATTATGTAATTTATGTAATTTAACCTAAAAATATAAAAACTATTTTTTTTGTGTAAGGATTATTTGTCGTTTCAAAATTTACGATTCTTCAAAATCCATATTTCTTTTTTTTTTTTTTTTACGACACGTTTTGAATTTTAATTTTTGGGGGATGCAAGTTTTTTTTTTTGTGGTTTTGGCTGACTAAAATTTTGGAACTGGTGAAAAACAATTTGTTTGTTTTATCTTATTGCTGGTTATTATTCTTATTCTTTGGATCAAAAAAAAAAATATGCTTGTTTACTCGTTATATTGAGATTTGCATTTTATGTGAATGAACTCTTTTTTGTAATGTTTGTTGAACAAAATATTTTCTTTATTATTTCTAATTTTGAATTTACTTTTTGTTTGTTTGTTTTCTGCACCTAATGTAATTGTGTTGTAATTGTATAGCATAATTTGTTGTCATAACGTTCGAGAATAAACCGCTCACTCTTTTCTTATTATAAATACTTTTGATGACTAATATGGTTACCAATGTCTATCTAGTATAGATAACAATCATAAGCTTCTAAACAAAAATTTATTACAATTTTTTTTCTTTATTGCAAATGAGATCTTTTATTTTTTTTATATTATTTCATAATACCATTCTATCCATTTTCATATATTTCTCGAGTTTCAGTTACGCTTTTTGTGGAAGAAAGGAATGAATGAATACATTAAATTTTTCCTACTATAGAAACTTTGAATTTCAAATTTATTAAAATCAAAGAACTTCAACAAGAAGAAGAAAGTAATAATGTAATTAATGTTTCATTGCAAAAGAAAAGAGCGGAACTTATGATAATTTTTGAAGAAGATATTTAGAATCTCATGATAATTTTGTAAATTAAACAATGGATTATATTTGTAGTTATGAAATCACAATTTTGACACGAAATAATATTACGAATCATACGTCTATAGTTAACTAAGTCATTTTACGTACTGTTTTTTTACTGGGCAATTTTATTTTGGAAATGGAGATTTGTAGATCATTTGCGATTTATATTATACAATTATTATAATTATACAACTTTTGTTAAATGGATTTAAGCTGTACAAAATTTGAATAATTAATAGCTTCTTTATCTATGTAATATACCGTACACAATGTTCAATAACACAAACATCTATAAATCCTTTAACACATATTACTTATTACTAATTATTACTTGTTTACAAGAGTTAAGAGTCAATGATAACCTTTAACAAAGAATTTGTTCTTGAGAAATTGAATAATTTTGCACATTAAAAATCCTGATGATAATATCTTTCATATATCGAGAGTAACAAGGAAGTCATACTTAATAATTAAAAATGATATGAAACTTCAAAATCTGATTTTAATTTACCACCAATGATATTGGAATGAAATTTTCTTTAAATATTTTATACTACTTACATAATATTACGTAAATAGCATAAATCTTAAAGGAGAATTTTCAAACTTACCTGTGACAAGAAGAAATCTTGAGATTAACCTTCTTTTGGTTAAACCCAAATTATTATCTAAAAAAGGTAAATATTAAAACTAATATAATTTGGAAGTCCCAAAAATCAAAACAGAAGCCAAAACCAGGGAAAGTACTGTATTATAAAAAAAATCTGGTGACAAAAAAAGTAAGCGGGGGTTTTTTAAAAAAAAATATATATAGCCGGAATATCCACTATTTCCAAAAGCGAAATCATTAGAGTAGTTTGAATTCGTTTTTGCACCATTCTAAGTGTCTGTTATCTTATTATTTATTTATTTTAATATTTTCAAGTGATCATATTTAACTTTGCCTTTATTTAACTTTACCTTTATTTAAATTTATGTAATGATTCATTTCACGCTACGCTGATAGAGTTTAATTTTTGAGATAAAAGATTAATTTTTGTAACGCGTTACTCTTTTTTTTTTTAAAAAAAAAATAATTTTCTTCTTTCTTTTCTTGATACAATTAAAAATAAAATCTTTTAACTTTATTTCTCGTAGAAATATTAAAGGGGATTAATAATAAGTGACAAGGAATTCTAATAATATGGTCTCATTTAATAATTTTTAATAATGATATGATAAAGTTAACATTTTATTGATTGATTGTTAATTAACCTTTAAATATGAAATCATTTAATAATAATAATCCTTTTTAGATTAATGAGATTAATGATAACAATTTGGAAGAGATTGAATTTAATCAAAAGTTCACATTAAAATCATCACCCTTCAAAAGTATATCAGATTTATCTTTAATTGAAGAAACATCAAATTATGATAGTATCGAAAATTTCGAGTATTTTAATGATGATGATGGTGAAACAAGTAATAGTAATGGACGATTTTCTTCAAAGAAAAATCATATCAATGTTTTAAGATCGTCATGTCCCATCATGTTTGATGATGATTATAATCCTATCTTAACTAAAGGAGAAAACAATGAGGGACACGAGGAAAACAATTATTTCAAAAACAACAATATAAATACAGATTTATTGTCTCGTATCACTGTTTTAGAAGAGAATCATGATCATGGATCGATTTCAGTAGATCATACAAATTTGGAGGATTTAAAGGAATTAAATTTGACCGACAGTATATTATCTCGTTTAGCCGTCAAAGAACCTGGACCTTTTAATAATAATCGTGGTGGTGTATTATCTCGAATTGATTTTAAGAGAAGAAATAATACCAATTGTGATATACTTTCTCGCGTTTTAATCAATGATAAGAAGATTACAACGAATTGTGATATTATGTCTCGCGTGATTTTCAAGGATGATAAAATTGGACCAGATAACAGAAATCATGACATAGATAATCAAGAAGAAAAAGATAACTCGGATAATACATATAAATCAGTATCCGAGGTGAATGTTATTTGTTTAATTTCGATTTTTGATAAATATAAAATAATTCAATTAATATAACTTAATACGAACGTGTAGCAAAAGTCTACGAAAGTTTTTTCAAGTATTTATGATGACAATTTTGAAGTACAATTGAATTCGTCATCAATAATTTTAAACCTTAAAGAATTAACCATTGGAAAATTTATAAATTATTCCCCTTGCGCACTCGAATTGAATCCAAATATTCAGACTGTAAATTTTATAAACTTTGAAACATTTTCTAATCTTTGCATTCACATTAAAGGGATTGAACATTATTTGAGAGATGGATATGAGATTGAAATGAAATTAAAGAAAAAAATCAAAAAATGGATTATACCTGTAAGTCATATTTTCGTATTCATATATTTTGAATGGTGTCATATAATTAAATGAAAACGTTTCTTGATAAAATAGGGTAGAAATTTTATAAACGAAAATGAGATAAAACTTTTTTTTGAACCAACTGGTGGTGAAATTATCAATTCAAAATCAATTAATATGATCGTTTCTGATAAAGAAAGTCTTATTTGCCTTAAAAAATTTGATAAAATGTTCTGGTAATTTTCAACAAACAATTGTGACTTTGTTCATTGTCTTAATTTAAAACCAAAAAAGACTTCGTGATTATATCTTCTTATTATTCTATTGATAACAGGGAAATACAAAATTCTATTATTGAACCAATTTCAATAACGGACTTTTCTGTAATTAAGGTCAATTAATGTTTTTATTTTTATTACTTATTATTACTAAATATTTCTTTCGGGTAAAATAATAAAAAATAAATTTGATTTGTTTAACAGATCCCAGTCCTTATAAATTTCGAAAAAAAACGGTTTCATCACAAATTATCATCAAGTACTACATTTCAACAATTCCTTCAACTTCTTAACCAAAAATTTCGATATAAAAATATTTGTATACCAATTTCATATTCCATGATTAACGTTAATGGAATTTTAAAAATTTATGATGAAAAAGATTGGGAAGTATGTATGATAATGGTTACTGAAAATTTTGATGATAGCAAAGATGAGATGGCTCTTGAAATTTATATTGAAAAGACATGATTATTCATTATATGTAAATCAATAATACTCATTTATCAAGTTACAAAGAGAAAAAGATTCTTTATTTCTTTTTTAATGATCATTGCATTGATCAACATTAAATATATATATAAAATGAGATTTAAAAAAATTACAAATATAATATTATACAATTTTCTATAATTATTAACAAAATCACATATATATACAAAAGAAAATAAAATTTGAAATTAAATGATTTGTTTTAAAATTGATAAAACAAAAAGTTAAATCAAAATAAATAACATAATTTATTATTCCTATGAATATCATAGAAATGATTTTTTAAATAATTTCTAAGGTTTCCATCATCAATATATTCGATTACCAGAATGCACACCTAAAATGAAAATATTTTGATTAAAAATTAGGCAAAATGTTCATCCAAGAAAAAAAAATTTTTTTGATATTAAGAGTTAACATACCATCCTATATAACATTGACATAAATTTTCTATTGATCTCGCCTGTTGTATTAAACGTTCAACTTGCGATGGAACATCGAGCTCTTGGTTAGGATTGAAATCCTTACCTAATAGATTATAATAAAAAAAAAATGTTAATGAGGAATAATAAAAAATGTAATAAAGTATTGAAAATTAAAAGTTTTTTAACAAACCAGTTAATTTATTTGAAATACGATTAATAATGTCACGAGCACGACGATTGGTTGTTCCTACAGCATTAAGATTTTCGCCATCTTGACGAGGACTTGGGTTTGCCATAATCCTCCAATTTATTAACGGATCATGTACAAAGGCTTCTAGTACAGCCATTAAACTTTCTTTATTTTTACGTAATACATTCATAACAGCCTCACAGGTAGTTCGGAAATTTCCTTCTATTCCACTCACTTCCATTGCATTGATTAACATTCGGGTTAAACGGAATGGAATTCTTTCTGGATATTTTTCTCGAGTCATTGCAACCTATGAAAATGAAAATATTTTATTATATACACAAACTACATGCATATTATTCATACATTCAATAAATAATAACAAATGATTAATGAGTAGATTACCTCAAAACAATCTCCAAAATCGATATGTACTATTTTTCCGGTGTATCTATCCAACATTATATTAGACGGATGTCGATCACCAAGTCCAAGGATATATCCTACCATTGACATCAATGCCAATGATCTCGTATAGTTGGTTCTTCTATCAAGCCAAGCTTCTGAATTCTTACTCTTAAGCCAAAGAACTTTGTATAAATCTTGACCTGTAGTATTGGCTAAAGCAAATTCGAATACTTCTACTTTCTCAATAATTGTTAATTGATCATAATCAGGAGCCATCTATTATAAAAAAAAAATTTAAAAATATAAGTATATATATATATATATATATATATATGAATATTCGTAATTTAAATTTAAAAGAAATATAGAATTTCATACCTGTAACATTAATCGATGTTCGATATTTAGTAATATTTTCTTACTCTCACGATAATCTCGAATGAGAGCATGAAGTGTATCACAATTAGGAACCCAACCGAGAAGCCCAATATTTGGTGTTAACGGTGTAACAGTGTATCTTTGAATATGTAAATGACGTTTAAACGTTTCCGAATCAACCGAAAGAGATGTATTAACTAATCCGAACAATTGCATCACACGTTCATCCTGACGTAAATCCTCATGACCTTGAAACAATAAAATTTTGAGTAAATAATTTCGTATATTCATTTAATGAAATTAATAAAAACATAAAGAAATAATATTATTATTAACCTTTAAGTAAAAATTGATATTCTTTTCCATCGCTTCCTGTTAAATTAAGCTTTCGCGGACGTTGCTTTGAAGAAATTATATTAACTGTGGATACAAAACTTGCAATCTTTGTTACTGGTTCACCACTCTTGTATGTGCCTAAATATTTATCAAAATATACAAAATATAAATATTAGTATAAATAAAAAATCAAATCATTATAATAATATAAACAATCTTTCAAATGATACCTGGTACAGCTAACTCTAAATCCTTAGCAGCCAACAATTTAGGTGATACATATTGAAGTTCCAATGAGGTAATAGTTGCAACTTGTGAAGTTATTTTTTTGAATAACTATAAAATAAAATTTAAAAGTATAATTAGTATAATTTGGTTATTTTCAGCTTATTATAATGTAATAGAAATAAAATTTATTGGAAACTAACTTCATGATAAATTTGCCATGCTTGTGCGAGGAAAGTCATATCTCCAGTTTGTTTGTATTTTTTACACCAGCCTCCAGCATCTTGAAGTTCTCTTCCATATGCTTGTACAAATGCTACTTCTCTTAAAGTTTCAGCACCCTTATCAAGACGTTCTTGTAACTCATCTAAAATCTGGAACATAGCCTCAAAATTGCGATCGATGAAATACAATCTCGATGCTTCTTCCAGGTTTTCCATCCATATCTCATGCCATAATATGGCAACACGTATAAGTTCTTGACTTACCAATAAAGCCTAAAGAATTAATAAATTAATAAATTTTATAAGAAAAAAAAAAAAAAAAAAAACTTTGAAAAAGATCGTTGGATAATTATAATATTTACTTGGTCGACAAGAACTGCACTATGAGCTCTTAATTTATCCATAACCGCTGAGGCGGCGATTTGTCTACAGACACTTTGAGACTTGGAAGCAACAGTTAATGGATATATTAAAGCTTGCGGATGTTCTTTACCAACATCAGCAAGTAATTGATGAATTAATTCACGAACATTAGTATTGGGTGCGTGAATACGAGCAATCAACTACAATGTAAACAATTAATTAATTAATAAAAAATTAATTTATTATTAATTTATATATATATATATCAGAGAACTTCAATATTGTACTAACCTGTGGTATAACTTCTAACCACGTGTCAATATTAACACTTCCAAATCCTTGTTTAATCGCTTTGCAAACTTCTTCATGGTATCCATATTTAAACCATAAAGTCAATAATCGTAAAGCATCTTGCAAACAATTACCTCTAGAGAGCGAAATCGATCTGAAGAAGCCTTGCACAGACGGAACAACATAACGTAATACTTCTTGGTGAATATCGGCACTATTTTCTTCGAGAACATCAGAAACATTTTGATCTTCTCGAGAATTATTTTCTGTAGAATTGTGTTTCTCATAATGTGATATAACCTCAAAATTTGCAAGAGCCCATGCATGCCATGCCTTATACCAGTCTTTATCGTTTTGAGTTGCAAGTGAATAAGATTGAAGAATATCAGGGATAGTTTCCTATAATTTGATGATAAAATATAACAAAAAAAAATTGAGAAACTATAAAAAATGAACGTCATATTAATTACAAAATTAATTAATATTAATAAATATCTTACCGGATTCCAATCTTCTTGAAGAACTTTTTGCCATTCGCCTTTTTTGAGATAACAACGGGCAAGCAATCCAGTATTACCTACACGAAGGTCATTAGACATTCTTCCCGTAAAGTCCTTCAATAAACCTAACGCTTCTTCACGACTTCCACTTGCCCACATCCATTTCAAATGAGCATAAACTACTTGAGGTGCAGCTCGAGCCAAGATCTAAGAAAATAAAATAAGATGTTATTATCATCCACATACATTAAATTTATCAAATGTATTCAATGATAATAAATCCGAATATTACCGATGGATGTATAGTTTCTAATTTTTGATCTCCAACTAATAATAGTTTCAAAATCTTTTCAGCCAATTCAAGGCGATCGCTTTTTCGACACAAGTTAGAATATTTGATCCACATCTCCATATTTTCTTTAGGAGAAATAACCAATGCACGAACTTTGAGAATTTGCTGCCAAACTTCAACACTACGCTGACATCCTTTTAACCTATAATTATTTAAATTAAATTAATTTTAAATAATTGGATAAAAACTTAGACAGAAATTATATAAAAGGTTTATTACCTCTTCATCCAGGTCTTCCTTATCGTTGCCTGTCTATCGGGTTGATCGGAGAATTGTTTATATGTAATGATTTCCTCCAATTCAGCCAACATTTGTACACGAACAACAACACTGTATGCTCGATTATAGCTTTCACCCACAAGTGCTGTTAATTCAGTATCCAAAAGATCCCGGGTTTTATCGATATGACGTACAGCTTCTGAATATTGATTCTTATGCAAGTAAAGTACAGCTTGATAAAACGAACGGTCGGGAGATTCCGATTTTATTGTTGGAATATAATCTTCCATTAAATTCCATTTGCCAAGAGACCATGCACCCGCTGCTGCATAAGTAGACATTGCTTTCCTTTGATCTGGTGTTGCATCTTGCCATTTTTCTTGAACAAGTTCGGAAAGACCATCCATATCACCCAAAGAATGTAAACAACGCATAACACCAAGTGTCGCTTCAAAGTCACTAGGTTCATTTTGACGACGTTTTTCATAAGCGATCAAAGCGTCTTCCCATCTAGTTAATTTCTCATACCAATTTTCTTTTAATTGAAGGTCTTGTAGTCCAGGGGTTTGTTGCGCATGAGTAAGAATACCAATTGCCGCATCTGGAAGTTGTAGTTGATTATTAATTTGAATCAGTTTCTCGATTGTTTCAGTAGTGGCTTCTGATATAAATTCTAGTTCCTTATAATGAAGAGCTTTGGCATATGCATGGCAAGTCTCCGCATGGTTACCAAGCGTTCTAATATCTATAGGAAGTGATTTGTCATAATGTTCCATAAATTCGGCAAGATTTAATATTGTCGAAACAATTTCAGGAGGAATATTTGGAGCTCTTAATGCGGACATTAATGAATTAACTAATTCGTCCTATTTATTAAATGTTAATATTTATGAATAATTCGAGTTATTATAAAACATAAAATAAAAATTATGTAATAAAATAAAATATTTATTTACCTTATATTGATAATATAATTCTGACCAACATGATATAAATCCAGCATTAAAAAGTTCTCTTGCTAAGGGATGATAAACACCAGCCAAACTAGCGCAAGCTCGAAGAGCATGTGATGGCGATTCTTTTAAAAGTTCAACACTCAAACGACGTATCCATTCATGCCAATCATCCTTTGTAGATCTTTGCGAACATTCCCAAGCATTTTTCAAATGCTGTTGGTTCACAGGTAATTTTTTTGTATTAGTCTCAGCAGCAGGTGTATCTTCGACTCGTGCTTCATTATATCTTTCATCTACACCCAATTCTTGCGGCAAAGGTTCTCCTTTCAGAAGTTTTGAAACCAACATTTCATAATTAGGATGTTGGATACGTTGTTTTTGTAAAACCTTGTTTATCATTGGAATGAATATTGCATAATCGGATCCTAATTGAAACACTAGAGCACAAAGTGTATCCATAGCTGCATTCCTCAAATCTAAAAAGGTTTGCTGAGCCAAAACACGAGACAATGGATGTATTATCCTTGAAGCATGATCAGAGAAATTCACTTTTTTGGATAATTGACCAATTGTGATAACTGCTGATTTGCGTAACTGATGTGGTACGTCTTGTCTCTCGAAAAGTTTAACCACCACAGGAATAACAAGATGCATATATTCTTCAATATTGGGACCAAACACGACGAGAGCATGTAAAACTCTCTGTGTAGGTTGACGTTTTTCACTTTTATCCTCATCAAAAATTTGTAACATTATTGGCAAGAGTGTTGGAAGATAATTTTTGAATTCACCATCAAGAGCTTTAGCGATTTCTTCAACAAGATGAATAATCGTTATTTGAATTGTAGAGCTCGGGTTCCAAAACGTTTCAACCAAAGCAAAAATGTCTGAAAGATAATTTCTAATATGTTGTTGTACAATTGAAACTAAAATTCCAAGTTGTTGAAAATAGAATTCCAACATTCCGGGGGGACAAGTTCGCATTACTCCCAAAAATGCAGGTGTGATCTTAAAAATTTAAAGAAAATATTAATCTTTGTCTTTTTATCAAATAACAATTAAATAATATAAAAGTTTTACGATACCTGTGGTAGAAATGGTACACATTTTAAACTAAGAGTCTTGAAAATGTACATGACTGCTTGAATGACTGCAGTATGATGAGCACTTAATGAAGGATCGCGCAAAATTTTCATCAATGCGTTGATTACAACAGTGGGATAATAATCTTCTGATGAAGGACCCATTCCAATCATTAACAGAGAAACATCTGTATTATTTGACTTTGGATCAACTAAAGAGTCGTCGGTGGATCCAGTAGTAATCTAAAATTCGAATATTCTCGATTTAATAAAATTCCATAATTCAAAATAATTCCAATTCCTTTTACCTTATGACGATAAGGATCGAGAGCACCAAGGATTCCTAATAATTTGACAGTTTCTCGTCGAATTGATGGTGATTGCTCCGTTTTCAATATATTAATAAGAATTGTGAGTAATTTTGGATATTTTTGATACGGCTCTATGACGAACCCGGTATTACTCGTTAATTGCCCCAAAGTCTTAAGTGCGGCATCTCTTTTAACCATAGAGCTTTGGTCTTGAAGAGCGTCAATAATAAGAGGCATTAATTTATCCAAGTAAGGAATTAAATCTTCACCACCAACGCGTGCTAATTCGCCCAATGCAGCCAAGACACTGGATGCGACCGCTGGACTTGGATCACGAGATTTGGGTAACAAAGCTTTTAAAATTGACTCAACATAAGGTTTTATTAATCTTTGCGATGCCGAAACCAATAAACTTAATAGTCTTGCACTCTCTTCCTTATTACGACTAGGAAGGTTTGTTAATATATAAATATAATTAATATAATTGTTGAACAAATACAACAGAAATAATTTTTTAAAAAAATTTACTTGACACTAGAATATTCTAATTCTGTTAAAAGTTGAATTAACGTTTTCCGCAACGATGGCATAACATAAGCAGGATTATGCGAAGCCAGACGGCCAATAATTGTGATTGTGATTTCACGAATTGTAAAAACTTCATCATTGAGTGCAATAAACAATGATCGAATATTTTCTGCTTGAGCTAGATGCCTATCAAACCTCTCAGTTAGATTTGAAAGAACGGTCTCGCGTATTACTGGATCTGAATAGAAATTAATCATAAAAAAAAAAATAAATATATGAAATATATAATAACATAATCTCAAAAAAAGCATTCAAACTTCTTAATTGTTCTTACCAGGATCAGCAACTCCCACAGTCAAGAGTTTCTCTAGAACTTCATTAACCACTTGAATAGCGTGATTACTTGTTTGATCTAATATAGGATCACGTGCAAACAACTGACAACAAGTTAAAGCAGCTGCCGCACGGACTTCATAATTCTCTTGCTCCAAGTATCGCGCCACACAATCTCTTACAAATTCGTTCAAAATATGTCCTGATTATATATATATAATATTAAAATGTTCAAAATCGTAGGAATTGAATTCGTTAATATAAATAGTAATAAAACTATATTACCTTCAAAATTAAAGTTTCCTAGTGTTTTTAGAGCGAGTGTAATAGTATCAACATCTTTTAATTCTGATACTTGATTTCCAAGATGACGCCTAAGATCATTTCCTTCGGATACAGGTGAACCAGGAGGGCGAAAAGGTTGCCCACACAAAGTTGTCGATAGCATGTTCAAAAGACGCTCTTGGTACATTAGAAATGTTTTAATATTGTTAATATTATCTCAAATATATGTTTACTTTCAAATAGTACCTTGTATGTTAGCAAGTAAAGGCGGTATATATTCAGCTAATTCCATCAATGACTGACGCAATGGATCACTCAACCCACATGCAAACATTAAATCTAATAGTTCGTGCATATGTTTTGTAAGTGCGGGACCCACTGCGCGGGCCAACATCCCAATACATTGAAACAATGGCGCTTCATTTCCGCCTCGGTTTCGACTTTTTTATTAAAAATATTAATGTAAGTATTTCTTTCGGAAGTATTTTTTGTTGCAAAAACACGTTTACATACGGCTTCGTAGACAACCCTTCTTTTATGCTGCTTAATATGGAATCAAGATATGGGCCCACGTTACTTCCTACAGCACAAGCAACTTGCCCAATAGCAATAAAGGCTAAAAATATATAAATATATATATATATATATATATCAAAATAAGAAATTTTAATGAATATAAAGTGTATAAATAAATAAGATTTTCAATTAACTTACATATTGACCTGTCACGATCTTTTTTGAGCTGTGCTAAAAGATACGGCATACATTTATGAACATTGGTGGAAACAAATTCTTTATCATCAAATTCGGCAAGAACTGGTATTAAAGAAATAACAGTTCGTCTGATCAGACCATCGCGATGATCTTTATAGCGTAAAACTATCTCACATACATTTTTATATAGCTCATGCATAAACTATCATTTTAAAAAATGAAATTAAAATCAAGAAATTAAAATAAAACAAAATATATAAATAGGGAAATAAATTTATTTACAGCTTTTGCATGATTCAATAATTCACGATACGCCAACAGGGAACCATGTATTTGATCCGCGTTATTTGATTTTAATCCCTTTCCAGCTTCTTCAAAAATTCTTGTATACCACTGAATTCGATGACCACTTTCACGTTCATAAACTATTTTCAAACACGCGCTCAAAGTCTCTGCTGATGCCTCTCGTATGATCTGTTTTTGATCACGTAAACCGACCCATATAGATTCCAAAATTGTAGGAACATGCCCATATACAAGAGTAGGTGCATTCTGGGCAAGTTCACGTAGGACAAGAGCCGCAGCATATCTTCTTAATTCTTGGCGATCACCTAATTTAATGATTATAAATATTATATAAAACATTCATAATAATTAAAAATATTCACAATAATATATATATAATAATATAAATTCATTTTAAAATTAAAATAATTACCTTGTAAATATTCTAATGAAGTGTTAACTTCGCGCTGAACAAATATGGCGGTCACTGCACCACTTGGTGCCGCCAATTTACCTTTAAATACAATGCAAACTATTAGATCAAAAAAGAAAATATATTAAATTCATAATCCAACTTTGATAAAATATATTTACCGAGCGCTTTTGCAGCCAAAATCATAATTTGTTGATCGCTATTTGGAAGAACCATTTTTAAATAATTTGTAAATCTTGACAATGTTGTCGTCTCAATATTATTATTTATTAATGCGTCTAAATAAGTAGGATAAATTTGATTAAAAAAGATAATAAAAATATTAAAAATATTTCATGTTTACGATTTAGTATTAAAAAAGGGTTGAATCATATCGAAATAATATGTTAACACGGATCCTTGAACAATATTTTTACATACCAATTGCGAAAATACCCCCAATTTTATGAGAATCAGGGGTATCTCCTTGCATCATTTCAAATATTCGTTTATTCACTTCATTTAGTAGATTAGGTTGTCCTTCAACCTTTAACCATTCACCAAAAGTAATGTCATTAGTTTTAAGATTTTTTTTTCACCAGAATGATAAAACTACTGATTTATTCTTACTAATACTCGGAGGTCTTGAGCTGCCTTTTGTTGAACAGCTTTGTCTCTACGAAAATAATAATAATAATTATAACAATTATACTTTACGCCAGTGAATGAAAATTGATAAGATAAAATTAAAGGTAGTTACTTGTTTTTCAGTCTATTTAAGATTTCGTCCATTGCTAAATTGTAGTACAATATGAAATGCTTTTTAAAGTTTGGAGGGTATTTATAAATGTTTATGTCCTCCGCTATCAAAGAAAAAGACAAATTATAATAATAAAAAAGAAGAATATAATTTATTTGTAGATTGGCGTCGATTTACGTATCACTTTAGATTTGGGAACCAGATTTGTATTACATCAGGATATCACGGGTGATCCGAATTACTTATTTTATTCACTTTACGCGTCACTTTCAATTCTCTTCTCATGGTTACGAAACAACTTTCTACGTGATACGGTTCAGTGTTATTGAAAAGAATATCAAAGACACTTTAGTGGCTCTCTCTCTCTCTTTCTTGATCAGTGAGCTGCCTGCACTTTGAGAAATCCAAAGAATGATAAAGTAAGTATATTTTATTAGTAATCAAAAAAACCTTTGTGATGTCAGCATTTATATATATATATTTTAATTTTTTGTTGTTTGTTTTTTGTTTTTTTTAAAAAAATCCTTTGTCGGTGGAAGTGAGACCGCCGGCGTGAGGGGACTTTTGCTGATACCTGAGTTAGTTATTTAATAACAACGAGGACGGTTCACATAGCACACAAGTAATCTTGTGAAAGGTTATTCGCGATGTCAAATGTAAAACTTATCCATTCTCCGCCGGTGGGACTGAATATTTAAACATTTGACATAGCGTATACACAAATTAATCTAGTAACAGATTATGTTTGTACACATTGAGTTTCTTGGATTAAGGTCGGTCAATTCTCAAGAAGGGATTCGCTACGTCTCCTTTTTCTCATTTTTAAATGGTAAATCTTGTGAACTGCTTGCATAGTAACTTGATTTGTGACGTCACTACCATTTAGAAATAAAGGAACTTTCGTTTATTTGATATCTTATTAAAATATTCTTACTTAATAGAGAGGCATTAACCCGATTTTTTATTATACATTAAAGTTCTCTCTCTCTGGCGGCTCTGGAGAAAACTTATCTCTTGTAAGTATATTTGCTTGCTTAGTATTTGTGAGTTCCTATTAGTATTTGTTTACGCTGTTGGTAGAGCAGAAATGCTCCATCAATGAAAAATGAGGTATTTCGTCTTTGTACAAATGGTCATCTTGAATTCAGAAACTGTACTAATCAACATTAGTATTTTTCTAAATCATAATAATATTAGGCTCAATTTTAAATGCATTATATGATACTTATTTTCCACGGTCCTTATGTGATTGAAGGTAAAAGAATTACAGTTTGCAGTATAGCATGGGGAAGAAGTTCTTAGGCAATTTTGCCACATCCAGAGAAAGCATGATATTGTACATTTTTAATCTTTTAATGAAAGAGATATTAACTCAATTTTTTATTATATATTAAACTTTTCTCTCTGGTAGCTTTGGAGAAAACTTATCTCTTGTAAGTATATTTGCTTACTTAGTATTTGTGAGTTCTTATTAGTATTTGTTTACACTGTTGGTAGAGCAGAAATGTTCTATTAATGAAAAATACTTTTGATGAGATATTTCATCTTTGTACAAATGGTCATCTTGGATTCAATGAAACTGTACTAATTAACATTAGTATTTTTCTAAATAATAATAATATTAGGTTCAACTTTAAATGCATTATATGATTCTTATTTCCCACAGTCCTTATATATGGCATGGGAAAAAAGTTCTTAGACAATTTTGTCACATCCAGAGAAGGCATGGTGTGTGCACCTTTAATCTTTTAATGAGAAAAGTATTTACCCAATTTTTTATTATATATTAAACTTCTCTTTCTCTGGTGGTTTTGGAGAAAACTTATTTCTTGTAAGTATATCTGTTTGCTTAGTATTTGTGAGTTCCTATTAGTATTTGTTTATACTGTTGATAGAACAGAAATGCTCTATCAATGAAAAATATTTTTAATAAAGTATTTCGTTTTTGTACAAATGGTTATCTTGAATTCAATGAAACTGTACTAATTAACATTAATTTTTTCTAAATAATAATAATATTAAACTCAACTTTAAATATATTATATAATGTTTATTTTCGAGTGAAAGGAATGAGAATAGTAATCGAAATAATGCGACATACTCATCTTCATCTGAGTTGATAAATATTACCTCAGCTCTTAATATATCTGCATCACAAAATGACAGTGATTCTAGTATGCCTGATATAGGAGGAAAGTTAGACCTTGTTCTGCTATGCAGAATTTCATCTGAAAAAGTAATAAATTTTATTGCAAAGCAATTAGAACCTACCCGAATATTTGGTTATATTTTTGTCTTGATTCATAGTGTTGATTCATAGGTAACACAGATGTTCGATCAGCCACGTGAATGCGTATTACATTATTACATGATATACCACAGAATAAAATCGAAGGTCATGGAACTTCTCCATCCATAAATTCCTGATTGACTAACTCGTGGCATATGCATTTTCTTTTTAATTTCCATAATTTTTCGTATAACCGTATTTCCTGATTATCTGGCGAAATATTTTTACTATTCTTACTTTCGCTTTTCTGTAACGTATTATTTTATAGGTTCTGTCTTGTTTTGTAACGCCTGTAAAACCATACGATTCAACTACAGAGACTTTTTGTCTTTCAGCTCATGACGGAAAATTGGGTGCACGAATATTTCGATCGCAAGTCCTCCGAATGGACTATTATAGGTTTTCTGGACGAATGCGACGACGCACAATCATTCCCTGATAAGATTGGATATTACCTCACTTCTCTCCAGGTCATTATTAAAAATGAGAGTGGCAAAAGGCACGAAAAAGCATTGCAATTGTTCGAAAAGTATAAAAAGGCAAGTTCAAGAATGTTTTTGGCTAAAAATATGGATAAGGAATGGTGGCGTGGCAGGGGACCTCCAAGATCTCTGTCATTCAAGTCTCTAAGTCGAGCCACGAAGCTAGTGCTGGGACACAGATGACCTCTAAGATTGTCTGATGTTCAAGCCTCTAAGACGACCTTGTACTAGCCCCATCGGAGCGCAGACAACCTCTAAGATTGTCTGACGTTCAAGCCTCTAAGACGATCTGATGGGATGAAAAGTTAGATAGAAATTGTAAAGACACTAGTTAAGGATACTACTAATTTTCCAAATTTACTAGGGTACTCGGCCTGATCGCCAGCTATCAAGAGATTGGCAATCGCGAAGAAGTAAAGAGACCGCTGCCACCTCAGTACACTTACACTATCCATCATTTAAGGGTAGCTCTCTAGGAATCGGAACGGTCAATGGTGGAACATTCAATGCTGGATTGTCCGCATCAAAAAAAAGAGATCAGGAAGAGGTACCAATTAACATTTTTTTAGCTAGAAATTGAGAATCAGCTGAACTAATTATTTTATATTTCGATATTTTAGGATGATTCCAAGGAGAAAAGATCTTTCAAGAGAAATCGCCAGGACACTGACGAGAGGAATACTACACCACCACCACCAAATTCAATGTCAACTGAATCTGTGGAAATCATTGACGACTCAGAAAGTGATGTTGATATAGATCAGGGCGAAGAAGAAATTAAGAGACTTACGCAGGTATTTTATTTATTTGCTAGCTCTTAGTGCTTTTTATATGACTGATGATAATTACAGTATATTTAATTTCTAGGATGAGGTGGGCATCCGTAACAAATTACTCAAAATTCTTACCGCTCATCAAGAAAAAGACAAAGAAGCCGGGAAAAATTTTATGTCATCAATATACCTCAACAATATTATAGATTTATCAGACGACGAAATACACAAGC